TCCTATCTCCCATAGATCCCGCCTGAGATTATCCTCCCATCTACGTCTAGGTCTCTCCAGAGGTCTCTTCCCCTCAGGCTTCCCAAATAGTAGACCCAACCAACCAGATGGCTTAGCGAACACAAAGGTTCATCACCGAATTAACCAAAGCCCACGTATCGCGTTCACCATACTTATGAAGATAATCTAGTAATATCATTTTGTATATGCAAATTCGTATGATATCTGAGAAAATGTTTTTTGACGATGTGGGTTCAGTCCCTTCCCCCTTAACAGATTCGTAATACTTTAAAAGGTACGCAGAAACGTTCTGTGCTGATCAATGCGATTTACGATGGTGAATGACATGGAAATTGGTTTATAATACGTTTTGGTTAAAGTGAAAAAGAATTAAACTATTAATAAGTACGAAACGGGATAAATGAAGTGCATAATAGTCGTTATCGCGTAATCTTAAAGCCTGGAGGATTTTTCTTATTTGGAATTTTGCATCTTATCGCAACAGATGGTGAAACCAAAATCAGTTATTTTAAATTCACTGCACTAAAAAAATAGGCATTACAGTAATAGTTTTAAATTATTTATAGTAACAGTCAGAGTAGATCTAATATTTATTTATTTCTATCGGTTGTTGTTAAAAAATAACCTGCGTCTTTTAACTTTTCGCAGAATTTGAGATTCTCTCGCGACCCAGTTCTGAATTACGGGGGACATTTCAGTACGAGAAGAACATTTTCGAAACAGTCATGATCGCTGAGTTAATGGACGACAAATTTTTGTAAGTACCAGCTACTTATCTGTTACTTCAATTGTTTTATTTAAGTGTCAACAACTGGTCAGCCGTGTTTCTGGGGAGAAACCCAGTTCGAATGTCGAAGGAGTTGGTGTTTATCGTAGTTTTCCCTCGGTGTGTCTAGGACAGTGTCGAGAACGTAGACCTACCTTTCTATAGACCACGCCTGCCTCCTCCTAAATCCTTACCTATTCATTAATAACTGATGCTATATAACTAGTGTAGTTAAACCGGTGTCGTTAAATTGAGTCA